TTAACACAAAAATAATAATTGTCTTTTCCAGTCTGCCAGTGGACAATGATTTTGTCTTATCCATTCTAAAGTCGAGAAGAAACAAATTAAAAGATTTAGGTTAGTAAAATTGATGTCAGGTGTGCTGAGAAATACCTTATATCATTTTGGTTCAAAGAGAATTAAATGATATTATTTTTTACACATGGACAAACCTACATTCCTGTATTTGTTGTCAATTTAACATAGAAACAACAATTACCTTTTTACTGCTGTAGACTTGTCCAGTCACTTGGTGGACGGTTATTTTGTCTCATCCATTCTAAAGTCGAGAGAGACAAATTAAAAGATTTGGGATGGTCAAATTAATGTCAGGTGTGATAAGAAATATCTTATGTCACTTTGGTTCAAAGGGAATTAAATGACATCATTTTTCACACATGGACAAACCTACATTTTTGTTTTTATTGTCCATTTAACACAAAAATAATAATTGTCTTTTCTAGTCTGCTAGTGGACAATGATTTTGTCTTATCCATTCTAAAATCGAGAAGAGACGAATTAAAAGATTTAGGCTAGTCAAATTGATGTCAGGTGTGCTGAGAAATACCTTATATCACTTTGGTTCAAAAAAAATTAAATGACATCATTTTTCATGGTCAACAATGAGATTGTCTAATCAGTCTAAGACAAGTTGATGATCTGTGGGCATGTTGAGAGTCTAATTTTCTTGAAAGAAACTTCTTTTGGGCTATTAACATTATATTGTCCCTCACATTCTCCATGTTTAAACAAGTCTATATCATTTAAACTTGACCGAGGAGTTATGGGAGAAAGGAGATCGTGGAGAAAGGAGTTTCTATCATTTAATTAATCTCAGCTAGCGGAAGACTGCAGGTGTTATTAAGGTTTAGCAACGAACAATTACCAGTACAGTATTTGCAAGATAAGCTGAGGGAGAGAAAATAAGTTGAGCTGCAGCCTGATCTTGATCTTCATCCACAATGATAATCTCAGGGTTCTTTACTCCATTAATGTTGATGCCAACGTTGCTCATCGTCTTCCCGCACTAGTTTTGTTCCACATTGTTGTCTCCATTATACCTGCAAGCTGTAATGGCGAAGATTAAGATTCCGATTCAAATTAGGGTTTTGTGCACTCATAAGTCTCCCATGGCTGCTGGATTATCCAAACATTCCAAGAAAAATTCTATAAAACACACCCACATATATATATATATATAATTATTAAAAATTCATCCTCCCCACACACATATATATATACATATATTATATTGATGATAAATCCAAAACATTCATTACCAAAAACCAATCATTCAGAAATTATAGTACAGTCATAATCGTTCAAATTCATTGACGAATCAATGAACAAACACAGTTTAGAAAATCCCACGCAATTATTTCAATGTATATATAAAAACAAACAGTCCATTTCCAAATCGCAGTCGTCCCCCCTTCATCAGGCAGCCGGGGCCGGGTCAGGATCGCCGGGCTGCTCCGAATCCGCCAGCAGATCCTCCATTCCCTCTGCAGCTTCCTGGACAGTGACCTTGACGCCACCGTGCTCCTCCATTTCTACCCCGCCGCCGCTACCGCCACTGCTGGTGGCCTGCTGCGGGAGATCATTAATCTCCAGTTTGGGCATGCACCCGAATTTCCTCGGCTTATTGTCCTCCTGACTGCGATCTTCGCTGATCGCCACGCCGGTCAGTTGCTTGCCCCGGCGGTCCTTTGGGAGGCGCCATTTGTAGTTTCGGCATTTCTGCCCAGGCGAAGAAATGAAAGTTGTAAGATAATTAGGCATGAAGGTTGTCAGGTGCAGCGTGAAAAATTAGTTTGCTAACAAAAAAATAATCGTGCAGTGGAAATTAAAGTTGTAAGATAACTAGGCATGAAGGTAGTAATATGCGTTCAAGAGTCGCGAAAAATTAGTTCAGTAACAAGAAAATGGTCATACAGTGGAAATTAAGACTATAAGATGTGTTCGCCAAAAATTAGTTTACCAACAATAAAATGGTCATTTAGTGGAAATTAAGGTTATAATATGCGTTCAAGAGTCGCAAAAAATTAGTTAGCTGACAACAAAATGATCCTATTATGGAAATTAAGGTTGTGGAATGTGTTCAAATGTCGCGAAAAATTAGTTCGCTAACAACAAAATGATCATGTGGTGAAAATTATGGTTGTAAGATGGTTTCAAATGTTGCCAAAATTAGTCCGCTAACAATAAAATGACCGTATAGCGGAAATTAAGATTGTAAAATATGTTCAAATGTCGCGAAAATTTTGTTTGCTACCAACAAGATAATCATACCATGGAAATTAAAGTTGTTACATGCATTCAAATGTCGCAAAAAAATTAGTTCGCCAACAACAAAATTATCATATTGTTCAATAAAATCACAAAGTTAATTATCAATAAATGACTGTCATTATAACATATGTTCAACTATTTTACGCTCCAAAATTTGAATTCTTAGTCAACACACGAATAAAATTTGCAAATTTAGCACTATTTTTATAACTATTTACAATCTTTGTAGGCTAGATTTTATATATTGTATTTTAATCCTATTTTTACCGAAAATCATTTCTTTAAATTTAGTTGTATACTAGTTATAAGTAATTATTTATCTTTGGATCCTAAATTTCATTTATTGTATTTTAATCCTAATTTTACAGAAAATCATTTCTTTAAATTCAGTACTACACTTTTAACTAATTATGATCTTTATACCCTAATTTTACAAATTGTATTTTAATCCTATTTTATCGAAAATATTTTCTTTAAATTTAGCCTTATACTCGTAATTAATTATTATGCTCATACTCTAGATTTTATACACTGCATTCTAATCCAATTTTACTGAAATATTTTTTTTTATTCTTTTTTGCTCCCGAAATTTTAATTAAAATAAAAATAAAATGACGCTACAATAAATTTTTTTTTTTTTTCTCACTAATTGTAATAAAAGCAAATAAGTTAGAGAGAGATGTACTCCTGAGCTGACAGACAACATATATTAAATGAAAATATTTTTTATTTTTTTATTTTGGTACATGGACAAACTTACATTCATGTGTTTGTTGTCAACTTAACACAAAAACAACAATTGTCTTTTTATTGCTGCAGACATGTCAAATTCACTGTGAGTTGGCAGACAATATATTTTAAATGAAAATACTTTCTATTTTCTATTTGGCGCATAGACAAACCTACATTCATGTGTTTGTTGTCAATTTAACACAAAAACAACAATTGTCTTTTTACCGCTGCAGACTTGTCAAATCTACTATGAGCTGACAGACAATATATGTTAAATGAAAATACTTTCTATTTTCTATTTGGCACATAGAAAAATCTACATTCATGTATTTGTTGTCAATTTAACACAAAAATAAAATTTGTCTTTTTACTGCTGCAGATTTGTCCAATCCACTATGAGCTTACATACAACATATGGTAAATGAAAATACTTTTTATTTTCTATTTTGGCACATGGATAAACTTACATTTCTGTATTTGTTGTCAATTTAACACAAAAACAACAATTGTCCTTTTACTACCGTAGACTTGTCCAGTCGGTTAGTGGACAATGATTTTGTCTTATCCATTCTAAAGTCAAGAAGAGACAAACTAAAAGATTTAGATTAGTCAAATTAATGAGAAATACCCTATGTCACTTTGGTTAAAAGGAAATTAAATGACATCATTTTTCATAGTCAACAATGAGACAGTCTAATCAATATGTGACAAGTTGTTGATCTTTGTGCATGTTGAGAACCCAAATTTCTACAAAGAAACTTCTTTTGAGCTCTCAACATTGTCCCTCACATTCTCCATGTTTAAACAAGTTTTTATCATTTAAACTTGGCCGACGAATTATCGGAGAAAGGAGATTATGGAGATTCAATCGGAGTTAGCAACTAGCTCTTGAGCTATATTACTCTCAACTAGTGGAAGACTGCTGGTATTTTTAAGTTTTAGTAACGAACAGTTACCAGTACAGTATTTGCAAGGTAAACTGAGGGGGACAAAATAAGTTGAAAGAATGTTTCATTGTTGAGTGATGTAATCATTATAATAAATTTATTTTTGGATTGACATCTCCAAATGTAGGTTAGTTATAACTGAATCAGATTAGCAAACTCTTGTATAATTTATTATTTTAGTGAATTAATGTGAATTTAGTGAATTAATGTGAATTTACCACGCTGTAATTGTCTTGTTTCTTCACTTGTGGTTCATTATACTGCGGTGCATTTACTCGAGGAGATGACTTTTTCTTTTTGTGTTCGAAGTAGTTTTGCTCGAATTATTTTTTAATATATGGTATCAGAGCAAGCTATTGAGTATAAATGATCTCACCTCCTAAAAGACCATTCAAGGTAAAGAAAAAGTTTTAACAGTGGTGCAAAAGCCAAAAGAAGAATGAAGTGCAGAAGAAAGAGCTCCTTGTATTGAAAATTCGAAGGTCATCATTGACTCTATCTTTAATGTTATAAAAATCAGTTTAGTGTGGTGTCAAAATGCAGACATATAGATAAAATACCAGATGAATCTAATATCTTCAATAAAACAAAAAATATTAAATATATTTTCACGTATTTAATAAAAATTATTAAATATATATTATTAAAATATAAAGTGAATAAACTTTAAAATAAAATAAAACAAATAATCACACAAATTAAATTAAATTTTTTTTTACATAAATTCCTTATATAATTTCATCAATAGAAATAATAAAATTCAAATTCAAACCACCCAAAACATTCTAAAAAAAATTATTAAAACTTCATAATCCCCACATATAATATGATATTGATAATAAATCGAAAACATTCATCACCAAAAACCAATCATTCAGAAATTATAGTACGGTCATAATCATTCAAATTCATTGACGAATCAATGAAAAAAACCAGTTCCGAAAATCCCACGCAATTATTTCAATGCATATAAAAAAAACGTTCAATCTGAAACCGCAGTCGTCCCCTTCAGTAGGCACCCGGGGCCGGGTCAGGGTCGCCGGGCTGCTCCGAATCCGCCAGCAGGTCCTCCATACCCACTGCGGCTTCCTGGACAGTGACCTTGACGCCACCGTGCTCCTCCATCTCTATGCCGCCGCCGCTGCCGCTGCTGCTGCCGCCGCTGGTGGCCTGCTGCGGGAGATCATTAATCTCCAGTTTTGGCATGCACCCAAATTTCCTCGGCTTGTTGTCCTCCTGACTGCGATCCTCGATGATCGCCACGCCGGTCGGCTGCTGGCCCCGGCGGTCCTTTGGGAGGCGCCATTTGTAGTTTCGGCATTTCTACATGGGCGAGGAGTTTAAAGTTGTAAGATAATTAGGCATGTAGGTTGTGAGATGCGTTCAAGTGTCGCGAAAAAATAGTTCGCTAATAGTAAAGTGAATATAGAGAGGAAATTAAAGGTTGTAAGATAATTAGGCTAAATGTTGTGATTTGCGCTCATATGTCACGAAAAAATAGTTCGCTAACAAGAAAAGATGGGAATCAAGGCTACAAGATGCGCTCAAATGTCGCGAAATAGTTCGCTAACAAAAAAAAATGATGGGAATTAAGTTTATAAGATGCGCTCATATGTCGCGAAATAGTTCGCTAACAAAAAAAAATGATGGGAATTAAGTTTATAAGATGCGTTCAAATATCGCGAAAAATTAGTTCGCTAACAAAAAAAAAATGATGGGAATTAAGTTTATAAGATGCGCTCAAATGTCGCAAAAAATTAGTTCACTAACAAAAAACTGATCATGTAATGAAAATTAAGGTTATAAGATGTGTTTAAATGTCGCAAAAAATCATAAGGTGGAAATTCATATAGTAAGATGCGTTCAAATGTCGCGAAAAATTGGTTTGCTACCAACAAAATGATCCTATGATGGAAATTAAGGTAGTAAAATGTGTTCAAAATGTCAACAGAAAAATAGTTCGATAACAACTAATTGATCATACAGTGAAAATTGAAGTTATAAGATGCGTTCAAATATCGCGAAAAACTAGTTCGTTGACTATAAAATGATTATACTGTTCAATAAAATCATCCTTAATTACAATAAATGATTGCAATCGTAAGATATGCTCAAATATTTTTTTTAAAAATAGTTTGGTAAATAACCAAGTGATTATACTATTCAATAAAGTCGACACGATTATTAGCTATGGTTGAAGAGAAATTCACCTGAAGATGGCTTGCAACTTGCATTCTTGTCAGGCCAGGGACATTCATGATCTGCAGGATGTCTTTGGGGAAACACTCTGCGCGACAAAAATTCAATTATTAGTCGAATGCATGAAAAAAAATAGTAAATCTAGCCCTATATTTACAACTAAATTTCACATATTACATTTTAATCCTATTTTACCGAAAATCATTTCTTTAAATATAGCCATATTATTACCTTGTTACCTTAGATTTTGTAAGTGTATTTGTAATCTTATTTTACCAAAAAGCATTAATCCAAACTCTTAATTCACAAAAAAATAAAATGAAGCTACAAAAATCATTTTTTTTGCAAGGTACTAGATCAAATTGATAAAAATATGCATGATTAAATTTATAATTTTCTCCCTAATTGTAATAAAAGCAAATATGTATATGTATATATATATGTATATGTATGTGTGAGAGAGAGAGGTAGAGAGAGAGAGAGGGAGACGTACTTCCTTCCCCAAGCTGATAGACAGCATCCATGAACTTCTGGTGCAGTTCTTGGTTCCACTCGGTGCACATCTTCCTCTTCATTCCATGGGGGCGAGCTGCATCTTGATCTTGATCGACAATGATAATCTCAGGGTTTTTGACTCCATTGATGTTGATGCCAACGTTGCTCATCGCCCTCCTGCGGTAGTTCTGTTCCACATTGTTGTCTCCATTATTCCTGCAGCTGTAATGGCGAAGATTCAGATTCAGATTCAAATTAGGGTTTTTTGCACCCATAAGCCTCCCATGGTTGCTGGATTCCGCCTGTCGTCTTGCCCGAATCTGCTCCCTCAGCACGTGCTGCCATAGTGACTTCAGAATCTCCAGAGTTATAGGCTTCCTAATGTAAAGCACTGCCCCAATCTGCAGGGCCCTCACCGCCGTTGCTTCGTCGTCCTCCGCCGACATCACTGATGATCGATCGTTCAATTGGAAAAAGAAAATTAGTTAAACAACCTTGTAAGAAGACCTAATTTAGTTGATTCTTGTTGATTTAATCGTTAATTTGTTTGAAAATTGTTTTCCAAAGAAGTATTGTATATAGATCATTGTCGATTTATTATTCCTTGTAAATAGAACAAGGGTTTTATTCATGATTATCATGTTACAAACGCTCTATGTATATAACAATTGGCGATGTGTGTTTTTCGAAAAAATATATTTTTATTACAAAATATGTATATTAAATATTATTTAAAAAAAAATTCAAACTTTCACATTTAGATTGAAAAGAAACACACTCAAGATTTCCTTAAAATAGGGTTTTTTAGACCGGGGATTTGTTCAAACGATCGTACCAATTATATATATATATATATATATGTATGTGGATGAAATAAGGAATACGAGAAGTTTGAGAAAATTGAGAATGACGTACTAAGAGTAGGAAGCGACATGGAAACAGCTTGCTGCAAAAGCTTTAATCCATGGAGGTCGGGTGAGTTGATGTCGGCTACCACAGCGTCGAATTTAACCTTTCCACTTATGAGCATTGCTAACGCAGACGATGCAAGCTCCACGATAGTCACTGACAATAAAAAAGATTAAGAAAACCTCAATACAATGGCGAATAAGATACAAGATTTTTATTCGAATAGGATTGAAAATTTAGAACTCGAACGGACACATAATAGAAAGAAAGAAAAAAAAAAAAAAAAAGACAAACCCTATTTATATTAGTAAGAAATCGGGTGATTTCTAGGATATTTGCCCGATTACTTACACTATAAATAGGGCAAAAGCCCGGAGAAACCCTAAAATTGGATAAAATAATTTATCGACAATTAGATTTAATCGAGGAAATATAGATATATAAAAATATATATATTTTTTAAATTTATAAAGCAGTGTATATTAAAAAACCAAACCTCTGTATCCGCACATTTCGAGCAGCTCGGCTGTCCTAAGGAGACTATTTTCGTCGTGCTCGACTAAAAGAACATGTATTTCGGGCATGACGGCTTTGTAAGAATCCATAGGAGCAGCAACGTTCCAATCATCAGCCCAAACATTGTCCAAATCCCACACCATGATTGAATCAAGAAATGGAAAATGCAAGAAAAATAATTATGAATTATATGAAATTTGAAATTGGTGATGTTTGTGATGAAGAAGAGGTTGTGTATTTATAGAAGAATAAAGAAATTGAAATTATTTGAATTCACATTGAATAGAAAGTCATTTAGGTTTAATGTAATATTATTACAGCCATCTTATAATATAATAAGCTGCCTTATATTTTTATTTATCTATATATTACAGTAATCAATTTTTATTTAAAGAGATATCTATTTTTAAATTTATATACATTTGAACAATATATTGGTCATGTGTGGTATTTTGCAGAATTTTTTAGTGTATTTTGTAATAATTTTGGGAAAGATATTATTACTTATGTTATTTATTTGAAATATATTGAAAATAATTATTAAAAAATCAATTTGGTATTTTTAGTTTTATTTGACATAAATCAAAAATCGTGTTAATATTAGAAAAGTTCGAATTTTTGAATTATCTAAATTTCGACAAACGAAACGTTTCAAGACGAATATTTCAAATTTTTAAAATATATTTACTAAATCAATTACAATAATCGGTTCAACGCTTTTATTTAATGCGACGTGCTCTCGAATGTACGAGTAATCACTATAATAATATTTTATATTACAAAAACATTTTATGCATATATAATCTAATTTACTAATTATATGCATACAAGGTAATATTACTTGATTATATTGTGATATTTTGTATTATATACTACCTCTCTCATTATTCAATATTTTTGTAAAATACAAAAAAAATAAGTACAAATTTTGATGACGGACGGAATATTATACTATTAATATGAAAGAAAAAAAAAAAAGAAGAAGAAAGAAAGTAGAAGACGAAAGCGTTTTGCTGGAGTTGGATTTTAATTTTAATTTTTGTTATATAATTTTTAAATTGTTTTATAAAAGATTACATTCAGACTGTTTTATTCAAATAAAAATTCAAAATCAAAATACAAAACTAAATTTCAAGTAAATAAACTCAAAACTATTTTTATTCCATATATATATATATATATAATATTTTGTAATATGCCATATATATTTCAAATATAATGAAATATATTTGTTTGTGATCCAATTATGCTTTTTATTTTATTTTATTTTTATATGGTTTCCAGTATATATATTTCATTTTCTTTTACGGTCAATATTCAATATAAAAAAATTATTTTTATATTATCTACATAATTTTTTATCTTAATGTAAAAAAAATATTTGACATTAAAACACTACTAAATCAAAACACCCATAGTTAAAATTGTGCTCATAATATGTTATTCTTTTATTGTTATAAGCGTTTGTTTATATTTTATTTTAAGTGTTTTTATAAATTTAAAATTATTTTAAAAGTATATAATACTACTCCCCATTTTCACTCATAAATTATATATATATTTTTATTTTGAATCGTTCAAATTATAAAGTAATTATTTCAAAAATACGTTATTTATTTTTTTTTTTTTTACAAATACATCTATTTTACTATCATATTATTACTTTTATATCAAAAATAAAGGCAAATACTACTCCCTCTGTCCCACAATGGATGTTTTGATTACCGTAGATACAAGAATTTAGATTAAGTATAATTAGTAGATAATTAAGAATGTATTAGTAAAAATAATTAATATATATAAATGATTATAGTTTTATAAAAAAGTGACCTGATACGTGGGACAATATAAGAGGAAACATGAACATGGTAGGTTGAAGGGAGGGAGTATGAAACTCTGCACAAAAAATAGATCTGACTGGATAATATTTAATATTTTCTAACTCCTGTATAAATGCAAACATTTTTTCTAGTAAATTAAAAAATAATACTACAATTAATTATTTATTGGTGAATGAAATGTATGATAAAGTTTCGACAAATTTATCTTTCACAAGCATATTGACCAATCTTGCATTAAGAGTTGAGTGTTGAATGTGAAAATTAAAGATATTTTGCCATTTAACATAGTAATTGTTTTAATTATACTAAAATAATATTTTCTCCGTCCCAGATACCATGTCCATGTTGCCGTTTTTGTCCGTCCCATATATCATGTTATTTTCCTTTTTTTGGAAAATGATTACACACTTTAATCTTATTTTAAATTTTTAAATTTTATTTTTTTAATTTTAATTAAACTAATTAGTTATCTTAATTTTAATTTATAATTATTTATATTATAAAATAATTATTTTCACTAATACATCCTTAATTATCTACTAATTACACCATTCCTAAAATACTGTATCTACGGTGTAGCAGATACGGTATCTGGGACGGAGGGAGTATTTGTTTGTGACGAACAAATATAACAAATTAAATATATATGAATTGAAAGAGAAAATTGCAAAATATATTCTTCATTTATATTCCATTATCACTTTTGTACTATATTTATTTTGTTGGCAAAATATATCCTACATGTTTGCAAAAGTTGCTATTTATATCCTCAATACTAGTATGATATTTTCCGTTTTGGGCTGAGCCCGCAAGGATTTGTTTTTGGATATTCTCCAAAAGGCAGTGAAGTAAGGTGTGAAATTTTCTTCCCAACTTCCGGTTGGGTTTGCTCCCCAACATGCGGTCAAATGATATAAATAGCGACTTTTGCAAAACATGTGAAATATATTTTGTTAGTGAGATACATACAAGACAAAAGTGATAATGAGATATACATAATTATATTTATTTTAATTTAAAATGTCATGTTTCTTTATTATTTAGTTAAAAGAAAGAAGAAATATATTGAAAATACAATATTAAGGTGTGCTTCGATTGTGATTTTGTTTGTATTTTCTTTTATAATTTTAATTCAAATGATTACTTGATATAATATGTAATAAAAAAATAATATCACATATTTTCATTTCAAAGTATTTTTGGGGGTTTTATAGTATTTCATTAGTTAGTAAAAGTGTGTTAATTTTTTTGATATATATATATATTTACTTTATATATATATAAATTAATTGTATATATAATGTTATGTTTATAATTTAAGTAAAAAATATTAGTATTTTATTATTAATATAAAATTATTCTTACTAACAATATAAAATAATATTTTGAGTTTGAAACTGAAAAATATTAGAAAATAAAAATAAATAGTATATATATGGGTGTGTTTGTTTTATAAAATAATTGGAAAGAATTTGTTTTTTTATGTAAGGTATATGAAATTGTGTAGAGAATATAAAAATAATTAATGTATATACTGTATTAATTTTTTATATATAAAAAATGTATTTTTTTTATGACATAGAACTCGCAGTTGTTATCCGAAAGTGTTACTAGATAAACCCTATAAAGAATGTACTTTTAATTATACTTCCTTCGTCTCATAACAAAGTATCCATTTTTTCATTTTAATCCGTCTCATAACAAAGTATCCATTTCCTTTTTTAGTAACTGTACTATCTACCTAAAATAACAAATACCCTTATAATTTACAATATATTACACAAATGTCATTACCTTACTACTAAATCATTTCTATTTTATTTCTACTATATCTCAATATAATACTAATATTTTTAAAACTACCTAAAAAAAAAAAAAAAAAAAACAAATGAATAAGGAGCGAAGGGAGTATAACATTAATTAGTATTTGTTTGCAACTATGCGTGTTCCTATTTTTAAATGAATATATTTTTTCATATTATAAATATGAATCATGACATTAATATAAAATATAAGATTTTGTATTAAATTATATATTTATGATATTTCAAAAATAAATTTAGTTTTTCCTATGATATAAAAATAAAAATTGATGTTTAATTTAATATTTTTATAATAATTTATGTACGTTTGATTCACCCCTAATAATCTCGCCGATTTGTAATAAAAATTACTATTTTTTTAATAAAATTTTATATAAAAATATTATTTAAATAAGTAAATGAAAACTACTAAAAACCCATAAACAAACACGGGCCAATCAAATAAAGTTCAGTTGTGGTCCAGTTGATGGACATTGACCCAAAATTGTATTTTAAATATTAATAAATCAATATATTTATATTAAAAGTTTGAATTTTTAATAACAATTTAAACACTGTTTATACTTTTTATTTTATTTTATTTTTTAAATATCACATTGTTTGGACGTAGTTTGGGAGTAATGTGGTTTCAAAGTCACTAAAAAATACATTTAATTTAATGTATTTTCTCCCTTTTTTATTATTATTATTCTTTTTTATCTATCTCTTTATTATAGCATTTTAATAAATATATACTTAACTAAAATATTCTTAAAATTAATTTTAAAACAGTACTATAGTGATAACTTTAATTGAAATATAATAACATAACATGTGGAATTGCATTCCTTTTAGTTTTTTAATTATAATAGGTCGCAAACTAGTGTCGTAAGTAAAATTTTTACCTTTTTAGATCGCCGAAAATACCTATGTGGCACCTGTGTGCTTCGCCCAGAGGCCACGTGTCCGTCAAGTAAGCGACGTCTAGCGGACACATTATTTTTTTTTATTTTTTAAATTTATATATTTTATATTTTTTGTATTTGGTCTAATTAAAAGGAAAAAGAAAATATACTCCCTCCGTCTCAAAAGTAAGTATCCATTTGTTTTTTGCACGTAGTTTTAGAAATATTAGTATTACATTGGGATATAGTAGGAATAAAGTAGAAATGACTAAAATAACTTTATTAGTATGCGTGATACAAATGTAATGACATTTGTGTAAATATATTGTAAATTGTAAGGGTATTTGTAATGTTAAGTAGATAGTACAGTTACCAAAAAAAAAAAAAAGGAAATTGATACTTTGTTATGGGATGACTAAAATTAAAAAATGGATACTTTGTTATGGGACGGAGGGAGTATAAATTTTAAAAATTTTGATAAAATAAAAAATAAAATATAAAAAAAAATCCACGTATCGGCTAGGTGTTGCTGACCTGGCCTCCGGCAAACCAAACAGGCATCTTCGGCTCCGGAGAATTAAAAATAAGAAAAAATTTCACTTACGACACTAATTTGGGACAAATTTCAATTACAGTACTAAAATCATAATTTAGTCGATATATAAACATAGATAAATAAATTCAAGAAAAAATAACTACAGAACTCGGTGCTCATATTCAAACAGCACAAATTAAACTTACAATTAAAATCCAAACAAAACAAGACACCGAAACAAAAGAATGAAGACGACGACCGCCATTAATGGCTACACAAAGCAAATCACTAGTTAAGCTCAACCAGTTCCACCGAGCACCGCCTTCAGCTTCTTCACCTGCGCGTCGTCAAGGAACGTCACCTTCTCCACCACCGCCGACGGCAGGTCGTTTCCGAACAGCGCAATCGACGTTATCTGCAATCCAGGGCTAGGGCTGCTGAAGCTGGCGTAGCCAACCGCCGCCGTCCCGCCGGCGTTGATCTGATAATGCAGAAGCCCCTGGGGGAACACCATGACGTCACCTTTCTTAAGTAATTGGGTGTAAACCTTATTGGCGGAGGAAATGAATCCGGCGGCGATGGAGCCCTGGATCACCAGGAGGACCTCCGATCCGGCGGGGTGGGTGTGCAGCGGGACGACACCGCCGGGGGCGAGGTCGAGGCGGGCGATGGAGATCCCGAGGCCGTTGACGCCGGGCAATTGGGCGTCGAACGCCGGCGAGACTGCAGCCTTGATGATGTTGGAGGTGTTGCCGGCGGCGCGGAATCCGATGAAGGTGAAGTCGGCGGCGGTTACTTTGTCGGCGCTCTTGCAGGAGTATCCGGCCGGAGACTGCGGGCCGGCGAGGTTGGCGACGCAGAAATCGGCGGCAGAGGTGGTTGTGGTGGTGGAGAGGAGGAGGAGGGATAGGGAGAGGATTAGGGTTTTGGTCAGCATTTTGGAATCAATTTTAAATAATAGTTATAATAATTAAATTAATTGTTATAAATTATTAATATTATATAATTGTTGTAGTGATTTAATTTGATTTAATTTGTTTTGGGGATGAGAATTAGGGTTTTATAGAGCATAGGGAATTTGGGGGATGGAATGAGAGCCACAAATTAGGGTATGTGAAGGAGAATGAAGATGATGGCCATGGCAGAATACAGACAAGAAAACTCTTTTCTAGGGTTAGCTGTGGCCAGAAAGTAGAGTTTTTTTCTCTTGTTATGGTTTTGTATTTTTATAGTAAATTGTGAAATAGAAAAGAATTTGAAATAAACGATAATAGAAGAATGTGTTTGTTTTCTTTAATTTTGATTGAGTTTGGAAATTTTTGATTTGAATTTAATATTAAAATACTTCATCCGTCTAAAGATTATATTTATATTTTGTGTCATCGTACTTAACATTAAAAATATTTATCATATTTGTATAATTTATTTTAACAAACTTTCTTCTATCAGTATTATATGACACAAATAAAAATATTTTTGTCATTTTTCATTGATTTATATTATGTTTTAATATAATAATTAATATATAAATATCAATACACAAAAAATAGATATGACATTTAGAGTCGGACGAAAGTAGTAATATATAATGGGATGTTTCGGGAAAAAAAATGAAAAAAATACATAATCTAAATAGTAAAAATATAATGTTTCGGCTAAAGAAACAAACCCTTAATTTATGATAAATAGCCCAATATATATGTTCTTTTATAGATTTCTACTATTTAGAGCTATAGCTTCGATATAATCTACTCCGTATAGCGAAAAAGTTGAGACTTAAGAAAAGAAGTAAACTAGAAGTATTGCAAAAAACTCTTAGATAGAGATCGAACAAGACATTTTAAGTGATAAATAATAGTGGGATGTAATATATTTTTGGCAAAGAATAATTTCATTGCAATATAAATCACTCACATGCTAGGGAGTAAAAGAAAGTTACGGTGTTGATTAAGATTAATCGGCAGTATAGAAAGTGAACTACGAACTATTAGTAAAATTATAAGTTTTTCGACTATAAAAGATAATGACAATAATATATTTATGTATATGTAACCCTAATCTACCGAGAATGTTATACATGCACCCACACATATTTTTTTAACTATGCAATTCTTATTCTATCTAATATATTCTCTCCATCCCACTTACCATGCCCATGTTGTCGTTTCTGTCCGTCCCACATCTCATGTCACTTTTTTTTTTTTTTAAATAAATGATTAAGCATCTTAATCTCATTGTAAATTTTCTAATATAAAATTTTTTTAATTTTAATTAAACTAATTAGTCATCTTAATCTTAATCTATAATGATTTATATTATAGGTTAATTATTTTTACTAATACATTCTTAATTATCTACTAATTATACTTATCCTAAATTCTCATATATACAGTAACCAAGACACTCAATGTGGGATTGAGGTAGTATTATTTTTCTAACAAAAATAAAAATAAAAATCATATACCAAAGTACATAGAAAAACGTAAGGAAAGCATACAATTGGAAACTCTACTTCATAAGGAATATTCCAATTTATTTAAAATATCATATTCAACGTCTACTTTCATACAAAATGATAAAAATAAAACACCATTTTATTTAATACTCATTCTATTTTAGTGTTTGGAGAATTATAAAGACTTTTAATTTAAATTGATACCATATAAACAAGTATGATGTAACGTTGAAAATATGCTTTCTCGTGTAATATATTAAATGAAAGAAAGAAAAAACCAGATGAATGAAAACGGTCCTTCTAAACACAATCAAATAGACTTCTAATGAATCCATTCGAGAAAATTCAAATCTTAAAAAAACCCTAAAAAAAAAACACGAAGACCAACGTAAAATTAAAGGCATGGAAGCTAAATCTCTTTTAATAATTGCGGATCGCGACAAGATTAGGAAATAATAAGCGAATGGTGGTTGGATTATGACGGGGAAAAAAATACTAAACTGAGCTTTCGATGGAGTTAGAAAAAGCAAAAAGAGTGGTCCAAAATGTGCACATGGGAAGGCAAGCAAGCATGCTAGCTAATATGCAATCCAAGAAATAATAATGGAGGGGATCGACGAAGAAGACGACACATATATACACAGAGACAGAGCTAGCTAGCTAGCTGTATAATAAATGTATGTAATATATATATATATGTATATCCATTTTGAAATATTTGCATCCAATCAATGGTGGGAAGGAATTGCCTGTCGATGAGGTGAGGTATATATGAATATATGTAGTTTAGTTGTTGTTAACTAGAAATATGTATATATATATATAGAAATATTTATGTTTATGTATGTATGTGTATGACAGATCGATTCATCTGTCTCATTAACGCTCTCTATCTTCCAATTTCCACACAAATAGTGTGTATACATACACAAACAGTGACAGATTTACATTGCGACTTGGAGGGTCAGTTTTTTTTTTTTAAGTGTAATTAATCAAATTTGTCCCTCTAATTTGAGATTAATATTCTACATAAATCTCCATATTATTATTATTTATAATTTATAATAATATATAATATTTTTATTTATAAAAATAAAAGATTGTATCTAAAATATTGTTTCCATTCATTTTTTTCTTCTTCAAAACCATGTTATAGTGTTAATAAAAATTGAAAAAGTTAAGATGACATCAAATTGATATAAATAAGTTGAAAAGAAAGTTCTTATATTATTTTTTGTACACACAGAAACAGCCAAATGTCTGTTTCAAATAAAAAACAGGCTCAAAATAGGTTAAAACTAAAATAAACGGTAAGAAAAATAAAACAAATAAACATAACAATTTTGCCCCTCCACAGTCGCAAAGATGGTTCCGTCACTGTACACAAGTATATATATATATATTATACATACATATGCATATATATATATATACATTATGTGTGTAAAAATAAAGGAATATAATTTATTTTTGGGACAGACGATCTCATAGTGTATATGAAGAGATATATGGATGAAACAACAAGTGCCACTCAATTGGAGAATAGGGTTTTTTTGGCTGCATTAGATCACTTCTCTTCTATAGGCAGAAATTGACTTCTCACATGGGCTCACCTTAATTGTGTGTTTGTTTTGGGGCAGTGGATTGGATTTACACTATACATTCAATTTTATTTCCCCAGAAACATTAAATCAAACACCTATTTTTCATTTTTTATATTATACTGAAAATCAATTTTACATTCAAAACATCACATCAACACATATTTATATCACATCATACAACTATTCAAATTCAAAATTTTTAATATTCAAATATCAATTCAAAATCCAGAGCATATTTTAAATATTAAATATTATATTAACATATATCTAAATATATAATTTTTTTTATTTTCTTTTTAATTTGCAAAACTTTAAAAACTTTTGAAAACTATCAGTCTATTTATTCAATAGTATTTTTTAATGAAATAATTATCCATAAATATTATTAAAAGAAATGTAAATATACTTATATATTAATACAATATATATTATCTACTCACAAAAAGTAAATATTTCATAAAAAAATATTATTTTTTATATTATCAACATAATTCTCCATATCAAACACAAAAACTTAATTCATCTAAAAATATTGAGTGAACGGACTGTATATATAAAATCTTACATAAGCTCCAAAATGTGAGAGTTTCTTTTTCTTTTTCTTTTACTTATTATTATTAGTATTATTTCATTTTTTGAGTTAAAAATGGGTTAAATTTGACATTTGGAATGAAATTTTTGAGATATTGCACATCTAAAAAACTAGTAGGAAAAAATTAAAAGTAAACAATCCATAATATATACACCCTTTACCATTTTTATTCGTAGTCTTATTTTCATAAATAATCATATCACTATAAAACTATTTTTATTTGATTAAAAAAAAAATTTATCCATACTTTTTACCAACTACCAATATAATATCAATATTCGTACTCAATCCAATTAAGATTATAATATATTAGCGTTGTCATAATATTTACAAGTAACAATCGATAGAAGCACCAAAGAAAGTGACTGTTTTCCTCTTAATTAATTATTGACAATATGGTGGGAAAAACCTCAAGATAATAATAATAATAATAATAATAATAATAATAATAATAATAATAATAATACTCCCTCCGTTCCACATACTGTGTATGCTACACTATAGACGCGGTATTTTAGAAGCAGTGTAATTAGTAGATAATGAAAAATATATTAGTGAAAATAATTATCCTATAATATAAATAATTATAAATTAAGATTAAGATAACTAATTAGTTTAATTAAAATTAAAAAAAATATGGAACCGGATAAAAATGACAACGTGAACATGGCATGTGGGACGGAGGGAGTAATAATTTTGAACATTTCTAATTATTAATGACAAAAGGCTAGATGTACACCCAATTCAGCTATTTTGAGATGGAGTTGGAAATACTTTTATTCCTTTAAATAAAATTTATTATTATAATTAATTGTTTTAGAAAAATTGACACCCACACTTTTGATTGGAAAATGATACTGGATGGGTGCACTACTACATTAAAGTGATGTGATGTATAAAGAATAATTTCTTAATATAATTTTTAATCATGATAATTTTGTACTTAATTACATAATATAAATTATTAAGTTACTAATAATAAATTATAAAATTATTTTATTATTTTTATATGAATATGATTGTTGATATTTTAAATATTTTTAAAATTATACTTCAATAAAATATATGTAATATAAATATTATTTTTTATATAGTACAAATAAATAAAAAATATATATTCATTTATTTATAATTAACTTAAAATTAATTTTATAAAAAAAATATAAAATTTTAAATATAGATAAAAATATTTGTTTATTGAGAAGAGATGTAAAAATAAAAGGATTTTGAGCGAATCATTAGCATAAAAAGTTAAAAATTTAGTTAAATTGATTTATATTTATTAATACGTTAAAATGAATAAATTTATTAAAAATAAAAATATATATATTATGATACCGACAAAAAAAAAAAGAAAAAATATATATATATCTGTCACGAGACACGAAGGTGATCTTAGGCCTATTCTAACTAATTAATAGGGCTCCATTAAGACCCAAAACTGAATTTAAGCTCAAGTTAAAGTGGGCCGGCCCAATATAGGCTGCTGAGCCCACTGGACATCATGAACATGTAGATGATTACACACTTTTGCAAATCTAAGAATAATGGCTGCACTAATTTGTTTTGGGATAATACAAAATTTATTGATTAATTGATTTTCTTTCGACTAGAAATAAGAAATACTAACTTATTTCTTGCACGTAAAAGAAGAAAATAAGAGGCACCAAATTCCACTAACTGACAAAAGCATCTTCCACCAAACACATGATTGATAGTATTAAACAAGAACCTTATCTCCAACTATATTTGTCTAAACCTTAGGTACAAATCCACCATGTGTGTTTGGTCTTTTTTTTATTATTATATATATATATATTTATATTTATATTATACTAAAAACTAAATATACATTCAAATCAAAGCCCAAAATCCACCATCTTGAACAAACACACCTTCATAGTTTTATCTCCTTAGCAGCCCTATGTCATCATCTATTTGCCTGTTACTACAATTGCTCAAATCTTAAATTTTCATGCAATTATATATATATATACACAAAATTAAATGTTCTACATAGGCATTAGAAACACAAAACAAAGTAGGAGTGTATAAAACAGCTAAAAAATTGCACACCTGTGTTTTGGTGTACTTGTGTAGCAAGAGAAATCCATGGCTGGCACCACAAATACCAGAGAGGCTAAGCAACTGAAGAAGGGACTGAACAAGGGCCCATGGAGGGCAGAGGAGGATCGGAAGCTGGCGGAAGCAGTCGACATCCATGGCGCTAAGAACTGGACAATCATTGCTGCAAATGCAGGTCTGCAAATGAAAACACACAGTATGTTAGAATATGTTTGCTGTATTGTCGAATTTTCATCATCAATGTTTTGATTTCAAAATCACACCAAAGAACAGGGCTGAACCGTTGCGCCAAGAGCTGCAGGCTAAGGTGGATGAATTATCTACGGCCAAACATCAAGAGAGGAAATATATCCGATCAAGAAGAGGACTTGATCATTAGGCTTCATAGACTACTCGGAAACAGGTAGGTTAATCGATGAATCTTAATGATTTCCCTCTATTGTGATCTAGAAAATAAAGATTTGGTTATCTTTGCAAGCCTAGGTGGTCTTTGATTGCAGCAAGGCTGCCGGGTCGAACAGACAATGAGATCAAGAACTACTGGAATTATCATCTGAGCAAGAAGAGGTTAGACAAAGGGGTACTGGTTGCTGGGATTTCGACACGGGGAATGGGGTGTAAGAGTGATCAACAAACAGTACATGCATCTAGTAGTAGTAGTGGTGTGGAGGATTTGGAAACAGGGTTTAATGTTGATGACTTCTTTGATTTCTCTAATGAAGATCCAACGACTATGGAGTGGGTCGCTAAGTTCACTACAGATGGCTGACCAGACCATTCTATAAAGAACTAGGAGCTGTAATGATTTTGATTACTTCTTTAGATAATGGTGAGAGGATTGAACTTTTTGAATGATTCCTGGACTTTTAGTAATTAGTGGAATCGACTAATGGAGAGTTTTGAATATGAGAATGATTCCCATTTCAATATGAATCATTCAAAATACCAAATATGAACCTAATGGCAACTTAGTTTCATCGAATGACAAATTTATTCAATGTATACTATGCTTATCAGTACAAGCTTTGATTTATAATAAAGAACTTGTTTGTGGAATGTCGATGACTATCAAGAATTCTGTAAATGCATGCAGCACAACATATTGAGGATTGATCAGTCTCAATTGATTCTATTCGTCTACAGTGACTATCTAAGCTAGAAAGGACACGAGTCATGACAACTTAAGAGTAAGCTCAGATGAACTGAAATACAGTTAAAAAAAAATAATAAGAATAAGAAAGAAGATTGTGATATTACCAATGAGACATTTCAAAAATTTCACCATCAAAATCTGTGACAGTAAAAAGAATTACACCAGAATTGGGTGCCATCGAAAGGTAAAATACAAGTGCAGCTAAGGCAGCTGGAAACTCATTGCCAATAACTTCCAATTAATGTGAATTCATACATGTATAAGGAAAACCTTGTTCCTCCAGAATTCTGAAACATAAAGTGCACCAGCATACCCTATCGAATCTACGTACTAAAAATTTGAATAAACCAATAGATCTAAATTACAAGCAATATTCAAGAGCTTCATCTTCAATTTGCAACTCATCATATGCGGGCTCAAATTTTCTTTAAAGGTCAAACAACCAATACAAGGGCAGAAATGGTTGAGAATCTTGAGATATATACAGACTACAATGAATTTACTGCTGACTCATATATACCTTATGTACACTTCAATGATCGCAACTGTTCAACTTGGAAGTTCTTATCCCCAGGCCATGGAGCAAGCATAATTTACCACCAATTTTCCATCAATGCCAAAGTTCTACAAGGTAATAGATAAGTGAATATGCCATTATGAGCAACAACCAGCCATCTTTCAATGTATCCAAATATAAATAAATGATTCAGAGTTTTCCTCGACAATGAAAATCATTCTATACAAAATGAATTTAGCAATAGGGTTGACTGAAAAAATAAAATCAACTGATTCAACTAGATGTCAAAAATACTAGCATGGTTAAGAGAGTGATGATAAAATCATACCACATTATCACATCTAAAGTGCTGCATAACAATTAGCTATATTATTATTTCATGAATTTGGGCAGCTGAACTTATAAATTGTATATATATATGCTACTCCCCACCAGAATAATCCAATTAAACAACATATTGGAGATCTCCCAGACACTACTAAAGAAGAACTGGAAAAAAAAATTGCATCGACAAATTGTAGCTGTGACAAGATAATGATTGAGTGTTGATCCTTAAAATGACAAACAAGAACCATGTAAACTGACTCTAGAAAATATATGATGCTATGGTTACACTCTGGCTAGAACCCAAAATCACTGATCACTCAAGAACTCAGTCCATTCTCAAATCCAAAAAGATATAAGGCAAATGAGAACTTACATTATACAGGTCTGAGATCAATTCATCAGGATTTGGCGAGAAGGCACTGTTTACGTACACAAACTGAGAGAAATAAATAAAGAAAAATAAAAACAATAGTATCTTCATAAAGAATATGTTAAAAGGAAAAATTTTATTGTCAAAGATCAATGGATTCTACCAGTGTCTCTCTATGAAGCTGGCGACGAAGAAAATCTATTACTTTTACAAATTTGTCTGTCCCAGCAATCTGCATTGATAAAAGAAGGTACATTCAATCATAGCATATTTTATCCATATACCCACTCTGTTGATCACATATGCTTGAGTCCTATGAAAATCTTTGAATTTATGCCTTCCACTAACCACACACACACAATTATTTTTCTAAGAAAAACTACCTGTAAACTTGAGGAACCCAAAGATAGATCAAGCACATTGAAGTTGAGAAATAGCTATGTGGCCTCTATTATTTATCCAACCACTTCTAGTGAAATTACCGATGGAAAACGTATAAAAGGAAAAACTAAATTACCCTCTCACAACCTAAGATACTGATTACACTGCAAGAAAAACCATACGCTGATACGCACATCAATATATTTCACCTAAAACCAACTTTGTGCAATGTATTTCAAATGGAAAGAAAACAACTCACACTGTTACCTGTTGCCTCATATTAATATGCTGCGCATATTGATTTTTTCCACTTGCGATATCAGCAATAACAACATGGTTCAACGAATTTTTAAAACAATCAAAGTTCATAAATTCTATGCAGCAGAATGGAAATACTGTAATCACATTGCAAGTCTAAAGCGTACTGTATCTGTTAATTTTCCTTGAGCCATAAACTAACAGAAAGCTAAATTTAAAAATCATATACAAGATTTGAACTATAAAACAAACAACAATAACCGGTGCAAACCATTCAAACTACGAAAATTTACACCTTGAATTTTGCTTGCTTGAGAATCGGTGCATCACCGGTGGCTCTCAGATGAACTACAACTGCACCGAGATCAAGATTGAAAATTCACATCATTAGATTGCCGATCACAAACTACTTTCCACACAATCTGTTTGCTCATAGTCGAAAGACCACGCAATTTAATACAACAATGCTAATATCAAAATTTTAGTATCCATAGCTTACCTTTCCGAGATTCCAAAGCCATGATTCCCCGCGGAAGAATCCGCCGACCACGTTCTTGACGCTTCCCTATCGGCTCTTCAAGCTTCAATCTTTTGACTTTATTTCTTTCTAAGTTTTCTGTAAGCGAAAACCACCTTTTGGGCTGGGCCGGGTTGTGTCTGGGCCTAGACACGTGGGTCGGGCTTGGCTTGTGCGCCGCGGAGGCTGCAGTTCATTGTCTTCGGCTTGTAGACTGGGCCGGGCCACGTGGGTTGAGCTGGCTTGCATATATAATATGATTTGCCAAGCATCTACATATATTTATTTAATACTATTAAACTGTGTATTTTTATTTTTTAATCTAAATTTATTTTTATTAATTTGATGTGCCCGAATTAACGATGAGTACTCTACAGATAATGGTCCATATCTTTTATTTGTATTATATTAAATTTGTTTATATTCCTTTCATATCCGGTCACATCTATTTTTTTTTTGTCATTGTATTTAATATTAAAAATATTCTTATATTTGTATAATTTATTTTTTACAAATATTCTCCTATTAGTATTATAAGACACTGGTGAGAGTATTTTTGCAATATTTTCTTAATTTATATTTAGGTTTTGATATAATAATTAATATTCAAATATTCCTACATAAAAAGTAAATGAGACTAGATAGTATACTGTTTGTTATTATATGGCATGTTTATAGTTTAATATTAGTATTATATTGAATTGTAGTAAAAAAAAGACTCAATTGGTATGGTGTAATATAAAAGTAATGATATTTGTATAATATTATATTGTAAATTGAAAAGGTATTTATTATGTTAAATATGTAGTTGTTGATGTAATTTTTCAACAAAAATAAAGTAAAATTCAAAGATATAGAAAATATCCTTAAACTTGATTAATTAGTGCCTGAGATTAGGAATCTCTAAACACTGTACGGTACATAAAATAAACTGGAAAATAAAAGACTGAAATTTAAAGTGGTGATCCCCAAATCTGACTTTGCTTTGTTGAAGTTGATTGAAGATGCCTTGCCAAATGATGATCCAAATCCTTAAATATTCCCTGGGAAACCGTACTGAAAACCGTCACCCGAACGGTTACAACGTCTCCTTCTCAACCGTCTTCCAACCTTTCTCATGCTGACACGTGTCCCCAGCAGACCAAAATTCCCTATATTTCACTCCTTGAGCCGACCACAGACCTTCCGCTCTTTTGGCCCGACTTCGTCCTTCGTCCGACCTACTTCTTCGCCCGACCCCACTTGGGCCGACCTCCATATCAACCGCCCCCTGTCTTTGATCAAAGGCCTCCGCGTTTGTCCGACTCCGCCTTCTATCCGACCTACAGTTTACCCGACCTGCGGATATCCCATCTCGACGACTTTCCGTCTCGAGGACCTCCCGACTTGAAAACCTTCCGACTCATCGTCTTTCCGTCTTGCGGACCTCCCGACCTGAAGACCTTCCGACTTGAGGTCTTTCCGTCTTGCGGACCTCCCGACCTGAAGACCTTCCGACTTGAGGTCTTTCCATCTTGCGGACCTCCCGACCTGAAGACCTTCCGACTTGAGGTCTTTCCGTCTTGCGGACCTCCCGACCTGAAAACCTTCCGACTTGAGGTCTTTCCGTCTTGAGGGCCTCCCGACCTGAAGACCTTCCGACCTGAGGTCTTTCCGTCCTGAGGACCTACCGACCTGAGGTCCTTCCGTCCTGAGGACCTACCGACCTGAGAACCTTCCGTCCTGAGGACCTACCGACCTAAGAACCTTCCGTCCTGAGGTCTTTCCGTCCTGAGGACCTACCGACCTAAGAACCTTCCGTCCTGAGGTCTTTCCGTCCTGAGGACCTACCGACTTGAGAACCTTCCGACCTGTATTTTCCTTAGCAATAAATAAATAAATTTATTTTCCTTGATTTCCTCACGGTGTCCTTCAGCCAGTTCAATCAACCCTATTGCCAGGCCCATTCTTCTTTTTACCTTGGGCTTTTAACCTAATTCTAAATTTCGTACGTAACAACTTGCCCGCCGCCAAGGGACTTTCAAACGCCATTTAACAATCAATGTTTGGAAGTTCATAAAGCACTACCTTCTTGAAAAACTCCCTTAGCAACTACACCAGTTACTGCAACACTCCTGGTTAACTTCCTTCTTCGCAATACAAGCCTGTGTGAATCACAATCCCAAAACATTCTAACTATGGCGAATCAATACATTCCTGCCCTTCCTTTCGACGGAACCCTTCCAGAAGGTCCATTTTCAGCCTCGAAAGTACTAACTCCGACGATCCGTCCATATTGCACTACTCCTGAAGATTCAAATCGGATGAGGGAAGTTTTGGAATCTCGCAACTCCTTGGCTATCAACAATCCCAACTACCAAGCAGTTCGCATCCGAGACAGCATCAAGACCCATCTCACAGACCCAAAAGATCTGTATCGTGCTTGGTATCGACGAGTAGCAGAACACTTCCAGACCCAATGGCGATCCCAAAAGATCGACCAAGCAATACTACTGTCCACCATGCCTATCAACCTGCATGAGAAGGTGCTGTTGGCCATGTCCGCCTTCTGGAATGCGGAAAATGGGACTTTCCTTTTGCCATCGGCCCCCTTCGGCCCAACTCTTATGGACGTGGCCATGATCGCACATCTCCCAGTCGTGGGTGAAGACCCTGTAATGGGAGCCCTAGATGGGCAGGAGCCATCAGAAGACCATCCGGGATGGTCTTTACAAGGTGTGAAGGAATGGGGTTGGACAAAGTTCGCAACCGACCAGCAAGGGGCTCCAGGGACTCCTGTAACCGACCGGGAGCATACTGCCTTTATCCTGTTCTGGCTTTGTAGGTACGTCATTGTTTCCCCTTCCAAAAGTGTTCTTCCTTCTCACCTCGACCTGGCCATTCATATTGCGTCAGGTCGGTTCTTCTCCCTTGGTACTCTATTTTTAGCCAATCTGTTTGAAGGACTCACCAGGGTTAGCCTTCGTTTAACAGATAACGATAATAGGAAATTAGACACTGCCGCGTCGGGTCCTTTTTGGTTTTTAGAACTTTGGTTCCGTCTTTACTTCCCCAACGCGTTTAACTTAGGATCTCCGCCCACTATGCCAACATCTGAAAAACATTTAGGATTAGTCCTCAACCGACTCTGCTCAGGACGCAATAAACTCCAATCTTCCGATCCAATAATAACCGCCATTTTAACAGATACCCGCAGTAACTCTCGATTTTCTATGTATAAAAAGTATGCGGGTTATGCTCCCGACCATTTCTGGCCATTTCCAGTACCAAACCCGCTTCCGACTCCTGAGTCTTGTCCTCATCCCACCTATCCTTTCGCCTGGGACGTCGCCCTCAAACCCAGGTCTCTTTTTAGTAGCAAGAAACTTGATAAAAAAGGGCAGAAAACTTTTTACACTTTTAACTATGAACCTCAATTCATGGCGCGCCAGTTCGGCTGTTGCCAAGGTATCCCTGGACCCGTCGCGTGTCCCCAAATAATTTTTCAAAGTCCCGACCGACGAGTCCTTCCTAATTCAATCCCTTCTTATATCTCCCAGCTCACCACGTATATAATTTCCAATTCTTATATTCCTTTCCGCTCCAACCCTGAGATTGTAGATACTTTCGATGAATGGTGGTCGGTTGTATGGTCCCTGATATCCCCTGATGAGGGTCGGTTGCTGAACATACTCCTTCCACCCCAAGGATTGGTTCTAGGGGCGGCTAGGCATACTAGCACTCAACAACAAACAGCCGCCCCGGGAATCGGATCTGGTGGTCCCACGCGCAAAAGAAAAACTTCCCAGCTGCAAACACCCCCGACCTCGGAGACCGACCAGCAAACACTAGCAGACCTTGGAATAAATAGGACGTCAGCAAGGACCCGATCCCGAATTGGTAATGTTTCTTAACACCGTGAACCAATTCACTATATCGTAACTTTGATTTTACTCATTTCATTCCCCAGAACCGACCTTGGTGACACCGACCATGCAACCGACGCCAGCACCAACCGACCATTCAATCGGGCCTTTGGTCCAGACCAATTTGCCAATGAGCAGTCGGGCGGAGGACCCGACGCGGAGGCAAACTCTTCCTCCCGTACCGAGGAGTGGTCGGGCCAGGCCCCCGACCAGGAGACAATCTTTACCAACAGTGCCTATAGAACCAGTAAGTTCCTTTATCAGCAAGACTTAGGATTCGGATGATCAACCTTAATATATTTAACAACAAACATCTTCATGATTTTTCCACAGACACCTTCACCCATCCCATCAGCAGCAGGGGTCTCTTCTGACAGCGAGGGGACTACTTCCCAGATGGGTCGGCCGCCATACATGGCATCAGACTCATCTATGTCAAAGGAAGAACCAGCCGCCCTCGCCGAAGCTGACCCTCAAAACGACATCCCTGATGCTGCTGATCCCGAAATCGAAGGTGCCCCAGAGATCCTGGCTGCAGTGGCTCTAGATGTAGTCGTCCAACCTGCAGCCGCCCTACCAGCAGCGGCGCTCCCTCTAGCCATCGAATGGCAGGCAGAAGAACCACCTGTGGCAGCCCAACCTCCAGAAATGGAAGAAATGTCTTCATCCGATTCGGAGACTTCTGTGAATTTGGTAAGATTAAACCAATCCATGCCATAACTTTTCTTTCGAAAAACACTAACTGTTTCAAATACTACTTTCCATAGGGACCCAGGTCGGCACCTCAGCGACCATTCGCAGCAGCCGACGAGTCGGCTGCTGTTATACCAGCTGTCTGCCCAACTCGACCGACCTCATTGCTGCCCCCCTCACTGACAGCAGTCCGCCCAGAGGTACCACATATTTTCTCCGAACAAATTTGCAACTCCCTTGGAATATTTATTGACATTGTAGGACTTGCAGGGGCCTTCGGACTTAGCTGTCCTATCGACTGTTCCGGTTCCAGCGGAGGCCCAGACTGTGTTCACTGAGGCCATTAACCGTCCCCTGTCCGAATTAAGGTCCGACTTATTGGACAAGCTCATTCAGACGGTTGGTGGCCTTCTTTTTTACACTCCAACGGAATCACCAGCCGTCCCCATTCTGCATCGGCTGATGGAAAGACTT